AGGTATTGGCTGATATTTCGGGCCACTCCACTGGAAATCTTATACGCATGCCGCATAATTCCCTAGTTGTCGTCTGACTTTTGCCTCCTAGACGCCAACGAAACGCAAACCCTCGCTGCATTCATCAACACTTACAGCGATTGACAGTAAAGGTTAGATGGCATATCACACCTGTCTTAACAACAATACTTAATCATTGAAGGCGTCGCGAATTCAGATGAACTTGGCAATCGAGTTCGACTTCATTCCATGGGCAGGAGTCCATCGCTTGCCTTCCCTCGGCAGTGTTTATTCTAGCGTTCTTTCGAGCCATCCTCATCTGATGATGCCGACGAGGTGGATACTCCACTACGGCTTTTATAAATTATCACGGGAGCAGCCTGGCATCCTACATCGGCATTCAATGCATACGAGTCCGGGGTTTACTTTTGTCGATGGTGGAAGAAAACAATGGAACTAGGAACGATCGCTCGTATTACACTAAGCACTTGCGTCGATGACTATCTCAGTCTGATCCATGAGGGTTTCTGCGCGCGCGCTTTATCATCTGTTGATCCCTTCCTCTTCAGTTTCTAGTGTAGACTAATCGTTATCAAGGCTACGAGCAAACCTTCCAGGGCCGTTTCACTGTGGGCAAGAGGAATTCAAGTACGCATTTCCATTCTCATTCCTATCATCTTAATTAACAAGATACAGTTTTCCGTCCACGTGGTAATACACTATACAATGGCATACGATGTCTATGCAATCGTGATCTTCTTGGGCGCCGTCTCCGGAGACGCCTTGGGGAACGTCACCGTTAACAGGCCATTGTCAAGAGAGGCCTTTATCTCTTCCTCCTGCAAATACATCAGCACCTCACTCTCCTCGAAGAAATTTCTCTTACCTTGACTCCCTGAGGAAGCCTCAACGTCCTAGAGAATTTGCCGAACTTGCGCTCCCGAACGGCGGACCCATTCTCCTCATGTTCCGACGAGATTTTGCTCTCCCCGGACACAGTCAGGCGGCCGTCGTGCACATCGATCTCCACGTCTTCCTTCTTGAGACCTGGGAGCTCGAACGTCGCGGTGACGGTGTTCGAGGCCGCGTCTTCGTGGAGGTCCATTCTGTAATAGATGTAAAAACTTGTCATCGCCGAGTCAATGACAAGGCACATACCTTGGCTTTAAGGCCTTCGTAGTGTTGTCCGAGTCATGCGCAGCCTGTGATTGTTGGCTGGCGGGACGAGCGATCGCGTCAAAGAGGCGATCGAAGTTGTAGAAGGGCTCGTAGTAGTAGACAGACATTGTCGTTTGGATGATGGGTAGGTGTCGACGAGCGAGGGTCTCTTATACTCCTCAAACTTTACTCGAACTTTCTATAGGTGACGACTCCACTGAAATAAATCTCGAAGAAAGTTCTCGAACTTTCCGAGGGGAGGGGGGGGCTCAGGCTCAAAATAGTCACATTCTCCACATTGTAAGTTACCAGATAGAACCTAGTCCCCCACAGAATGCATACAGGAACTTGAATGGACCAGAGGACAGAAACCAAGGGGCCTTCTTCCATTCCAATGGTCTATTTTGAAAGTCGTCGGGATTTGCCGAACTCTCTTCCTCCAGATCATCGCATTCACAGCAGTGGACCGTGCCGTGTAATATTACCTACCTGCCTGCCTACCTACTCAACAGGCGCATACGATCGAGTAGCAGGTGCTCAAGCCTATGACATAGTCGAACCGAGCTCAATGATGGTGAGAAGCTAAGGTCGCCGCTTGTAACGCTGAAGACGGAAGTTGCCTGGGTTATTTGTTTGTCGCTTGCATGTCGTCTGTCAAGAGACTACATCACGGGCGATTAAGTATCAATACCTCCACGCCTAGCTCATCTTTTTGCGATACTAGAGTTGTATCAATGCCGTGTAGTAATTCCGGTCACCCTAATATGCGACAGGGGGAAGTTTGAGTAAGCCTCGGAGTCGATATCGCATCGTGTCACCGTGAAATTGACGTGAGTTTTGGATAGTAACGACCGGCGTTGCACCTCTCTCACCCGTCCTTCTCCAGTCTCTTTTAAAGTTCCTCATAATAAAGAGGCAAAAACGCGGTGCAACACTTCCGACCCTATCGCGTCGATGGAACTAGTGGTACAGGTCGTCCAATAGCGCTACCACAAACACACATTTACGGATGGAGATGACACTCCAGGGCAGTGTGGTGCTCCATTAATACGCCCTGTAAGTATCTGTCTGATGTGGGCCACCAAGGAATACAACTGGCCCTCACGCTGATCTCCAATCTGTGCTTTGATCCCATGAGTAATCTGGCTCGCGCACGGAGGAAACTCATTCCGGCATAGATATGGATTACGGGACCGGCATAGATGACAACGCGACTTGAGGACGACGTGATGTTGCCGGAACCGTCCGCAACATATAAAGGTCTGTCGGCTTGGTTGCAGCTATCAACATCGGCGGCAGTTCAACTAGCTCGGACCCGCTACGAAAAGTCAAGAATGAAATTGATGGAGATCGTGCCACTATACTCGCCTCCTCGTCCCAGGCACTGCCGCTCATTCCTAGTCCAATGTCATCGAAATTACCCCCGCGTCTCTCGTAGGGGCCATGCCGCTTTCATACCAGTCAACCCCGGGAAGGAGGAGAAAACGGTAAGGAAACACCCGATTTGGCGTACGCGGTGCTAATTTTGTGATGATTTAGAGGTATAAATACCAGGAATGGTGCGTGGTGAAAGTCTCACCGGGGGAGGTTGCAAACATTATCATGGTTACCTCGGTGGCCAGTCGCATGATTTCTGTCGGGGACAGTGGCGATATCGGTCCAGCTTCGACGATCGACTGATCGACTAGGTTATCCCTTCCCTGCTTCAATCTATGCTTGTTTCACTGAATAGGTTGCAGTTTTTGGGATTCGTCATGCTATGTTACATTCCTTGTTCTAATGTCCCCGCAAGTTCTTCGGATTTTTCTTCAACGCCGTCTCTGGTGTTGCTGGGAACGTCAACGTCAATAGTCCTTTTTTGAGAGAAATTTTGACGTCCTTTCTCTACAACAAATGACATCAGCGCTTTTTCTCATGTCTGGAGGGGCATCATTGCACGCTTACCTGGGTTCCGAGGGGAGTCCTTAAACACCTGCAGAACGCGCCGATGTTGCGCTCAACAACACTGTAGCCGGCCTCCTCCACGTCCGGAGTTTCTCCCCAGACCATGATCTCACCGTCATCCCAAGTAGTGTGTATGTCTCCTCTCTTGAGACCGGGGAATTCGAGGACAGCGCTGACGGTGTTTGTAACTCTGTCTTCGGAGACATCCATGCTGTACAGGCGTATCTTTAAGCCTGGGGACATTATGAAGGCAAGAATCGAACAAACGCACAAGGTGAGGAAAGTTTTGACCAAAACCAGTTGCGAGAGAATGGGATTGGGGTCAATGGTGTAACCAGGCGTAGAACGGGAGGGAGATTGCGACATGGTCGGCAATGTGTTTGGGAGAAAGAAACAAACGTGCAGGTGCCTTTATAATCCCTCGGTTTTTGCTTGAATGTTCCGGTGCCGTGCCACTCCGAAGTCCTCGAAGCCCTTATTCCGGCTATATTTTTGTTCGACGCTGATCTATCTTTGTCTTTGCAACGCGGCGGCATAGGAGTAGTCCATGGCGATTAGTGTACTTGGGCTATCCGCACACACATGCTACACATCAATTTGTGATGATTTGTGCGAGAAGTAGTAGTCCATGAATATGATTGACGATAGCCGAACGACAAACCCCGCGTGATAACCTCCGTGTCCCCTTATAAAATAGGGCTAGAGCTAGTGTTTATTGTGAGGCGGCAAGGTATATGATAAGACGCATGAATAAATTCTATGAACAACACTTTCCCAAAGTGACTCTTGGATGACGAAACAGTGCTTGTCCGAGTCTAACTATGATCTTCATTGTCGTCACTTGATTTATCGACAGTCTCCTAATCCCCTTCTGAATCGGCTTCCTCTCTTGCGAATTTCATCATTATTATTTGCATACACCCACATGACGCGCACGATAGATCCTAAGCCACCTCCAGGACTGTCTCGTCCACCTACCCCGAGAGCTCTCACTTCGCCCTTCATGCTTTCAACCTACAGCTAGTTCGTCGAAGTTCTACACAAACAAGATACAGAATAAAATGGGATACATATCCATTCACGCATTCGGGTTCCCACCTCCTTCTGCTCCCGGAAAAAAATGGTTATACATTCCACCTTTCAAAGCTGATTTCGAACAGATTCTTCGCCAGGTCGAAGGTGGATTGGAATTCCGGTAGCATGGTTATTTGCACTGCGCCTGACATGAATCATCACCCTCGGGCGTTCAAGCGAGGGTCCATTCTCGAGCATCTCGCTCAAGCGACGAGCGAGTTCCTCCCGAAAGTCTTCATGGCCTTCATCATATTTGAATATCGCGCGAGACGGATCGGCAGGGTCGAGACGAGAAAATTTGGATTCAGAGGAAAGGAAGTCTTTTTCGTGTTCAGAAGAGTGCCAGATGCCCAGATCCAGAACGAACGTTGGCTTTTTGAGGAAAAAAAAAAAAAAGGCAAGGGACCGTCCAGCATCGATGCGAATCCATGTCTTGTTTAGATGCTTGGTGATAAAGCTCGACTGCGTCTTTAAAGTTGTGTGAAACTTGACGGCAGGTGATCCAGAAGAAAGAGAGCTCTTTCACACTACAGTGGAGGAGAATTTCATAGAAAATGTCAGAAGGAGTTCCCTGAAAGATTCCAGCAGACAACGAGGACACGGAAGTAAGAGGGTAGTACTAGCAACTTAAACGCCACCGCCACGTCTGATCTCTAAACCTCCCATCCTTTAGTCCATGTTCGATAACGGGAGAATGAAGGCATAATGATTGTTATAAACGTGTAGTCGAAGCTTCCGAGCAGGGTTTAGATTTGGTAGCCACTGAATGTATGGAGGCACCCTGAATGAGAGTACCTGAGTATACTATGGGATCAATTAGCTGTGGCACTATAGCCAAGTGGTTAAGGCGACAGATTAGAATCCACGTTTGGAACCGTTCATCTGTTACTCTCTGAGTGCGCAGGTTCAAATCCTGCTGGTGTCGTAATTTCATTTTCTTCTTCTAAAAATGACATTAGATTCAAATTCAAATCTCACGATTCAAGAACATTCGTTGTAAATCTTGTTCAATGAACAACATTGCGAATGTGAATGTGTTGAAATTTTTGATCAATGTTATTAGTGCTAATGTGTTTTGACTGAAAAATTCAATGGTTTGAAGTTTGAACTGAGTTGTAATCGTGTCGAAAACGTTGGCGTATAGTGGCTGTGGCGGGACGAGGATAGCATGTCTGTTTACTTGTCACCCCATGATGTACACGCAACTCGTCGTAGCCTGGCGGAACTGTATAACAGTGTATCAGTGTATATCCTAGATTCGACTCCTGGAGGTGAAATTTGAATGTCTGCTATTTCTTTTTTATAATCAGTGAATCAAATAAAATTGAATGTTTTTTTTTTTGCGAACTACTCTAGTTTTCTTATCCATCGGATGCGGGACAATGCGCATCTATATTTCGTCCTCGATTCCTTCTTGTATTAGGATCAGAGCTCTGATACATCGTGAATACTACTTGCCGAAGAAAGGCATATCCGGAATACATTCGGCACTGTTCTGAAGGAAGCAATGGATGAATGGGAATAGCGACCTGTATGGTCTGCTTTGTAGTGTAATTCTCTAATACGGAGCTTGAGACATTAGATTCAAACGAAGGGCTGCAATAAGTAGTTGGTTAACCTAACTTAATCACGACTTGAAATAGACTTCGTACCTTCTGAGCATACATCATCGTCAATCCTTTCGAAGCAGATACCTCTCTTCCATTATCCCATTCCTTCCCCACGCTTGCGATAAGATCATCGAGTTCCTGTTCCGACGATACCAGCCCCAAACCTCCACCTTCGAAAATAGGCCCGCGCATGGCAGAGAGCGCTGAAGTCAGATCATCTCTAAAATCTATTCCATCCTGACCTGCCCATTGTCCCAAAGGCAGGGCTCGTGTCTCACTCCACACGTTAACGGATCCCGCTTGGGTCAACATACCCGGAAGGTGCTTCACAATATCAACAAGTTAACCTCTGTGGGCGAATAACGCTGACCACAGATTACTGATCTTCAACGAAAAAGGTCCCATATGCCCTGGAATCACCGCTCCTTCGACGAGCTGTACCCATCCTCCAGGGGCGACGACGCGGTGTAATTCACCCAGAGCAACTTCCCATTGCGGTCCAGTCAGAGCCGTATAGAGGAAGTGTTGATTGACTAGTGAGAATGTATCGGTCCATTGACTGGGTAGATCCATGACCGAATGGAGGAGAAACTCCACGTTCTGGAGGAAGGATTCGGGGAATATTGTGGACTGGATGTCAATTGCTGTAAGAGAGACTGAGGAGGCAACTTCTCTCCTGGAAAAATAGAGAGTGAGCCATTAGTGGATAGCATTTCCCAGGTCGATCCTCACCTGATCCTGTAGCCGAGTCCAACACCCTATCCCCTGGCTGTAGAACTATTGGCGGCAGTACAGATTTACCATCACATAGCGCACGCCTGACGAGAGCATGTTGTAGTTCAAGCCTGAGTCAAAACATTAGTACAAAAACGACTGAGGCCATAGATGACAGCATACCGCTGTTTTTCCAGAGCATCAGATGGTAATATATAGTGCACATCCGGTGAAGATGGATAATCTCTCTTGGAGGACATAGACATGTTAGCGAAACTGCCCCGTTGCTTCAGAACCCAGGGTGCTTTTATGAGAATCGGTGGGGTGCGGCGGCCAGCCGCATATCGACGACTGTTGAAACATAGTAGCGCAGTAAAACTTGCTTCTGAATCCTCAAACGAAAAATGGAGAACCTCGAGTGTCTGCAAGCTGGCTTCTCTGTCGCCAGGAACTGCCTCTATGGTGCCTATTCTCACGACTTTGACGTCGTTATGATTCGAACATCTATCCCGCGCGTCCAGGACTGGCATTGTGCTGACATCGCGATCACTAACAAGACCAGGAATATGAGGAGCCATGTCGTTGACTCTCCAACCGCGCTGTTGCCGCACAATCAAGCCGTATCAGCTACTACACTCGAGGAGGCATCGCAGGTGATCACAGGCCAGGTTACTGCTACCTATCGGAGCATGACCTATAGCAGCAAGGCAGAGGGGAGCACCGTCGGTCGTATGCTTCATCTTTCAGTTTAGGGTACAGATCGAAGGGGGCAAGCGCGCAGGATTGATCAAGTGGAGCATGGTCGAGGTCCGGCTAGTTACAGACAGTATAGAGCGGCGTCAGAATGCGTGCTAAGACCACTTTCATGGGTGCTTTTAAGTGGAAAGGGTCTGGGTAGGACGAGGAATTGCCAGGTATAGGAAACGATGGTACATCGCCTACGAGGAGGCAGGAAGAAGGTGACGTCTAGCCAGTCAAGGCAACGACCGGCAATTTCCGGCACGTCTCTAACTTGGACGGCATCCTCCGTTCAATTATGCGTGCTCTTTCGCTTGCTCTATTGACTAGTAAAGCGCACCAACGTTCGTCCAGGTTTCAATATCGACACACCAGGGACCTGGCTGAGGATGTCGACTGATTTTTACTGCCAAGCCGAATCCAGCCAGGTTCACTCGTTTCCGGTTTCCGCACGCCCTTCCCGACTGCTTCTCCTTCCTTTGTTTGGCCTGTTCTCAGTTGGCATATGGGCTAAGCCATCGGGTATTGCGTTTGAGAGGAGGGCAGTGGATCCAGACGGGCATGTACGTTTCCTTCCAGCGCAACACGTTTCGTGGCTCAAGATGTACATGGTCCAGCTTCTACCCGTGGAGATGCGGTTCTCGTATACTGTCCAGAGCAGGGATCCCTTCGTTTCGATTGGGGGCTTGACACCCATGGTTGTCTTTCCTGCTAGCCCACCGTAGCCTATCGGGTAAGCGCGATGCGCCAGGTTCGAGTCCTGAGGGTGGAATTCTACGTCATGAATCGCTGATGTGGCTCACTTTTTGACAATCGCTGAACGAACGGACAGCGGGATATTATCGGGCTTGAGCTTGAATGGTTGGTATGTCGTGACGCCCCCGACTTGAGCACTTTTTAGTGAGTTGCTTGATCTGAATGATATGGTCGCGCTCAACGCCAAGCCCTGCTATAATGACCTCGTGGCACCGGTTGATTCATAATTTGCTCCGAGGAAAGATTCCGGTGCGATGCTAGAAGCTAGTACGTGCTTGAATCACCCTACTCAACACTTCGTTTTCCATCACTGCTAACCATGACATGGAGGAGTGGGAGCGCGGCCCCGATATGTTCGATTCGTACTGGGGTCCGTATAGCCAGCGACAAGAGAGTCTTTTACTCCGTCCTTGTATAGCAATGTGCATTGTGCTCTCGATTCTCGAATAACGGCTGCGGCTCTGAGCGCGAGCCCTGAGCCCTTTTGTTGCCGAAAACACCTTCCGTATTGAAGACGGATATGCAATGTTGCTCGCCTCTTCCCCTGGTTGTTGTCCTCGGCTCTAAAGATCACGAATTGTGGCTGCTGCATTGGGCAGGGCAGCGGGACGAGAATGGACTTGGGTGATGATCCCAATCCTTTCGACCCGCATCTTACCATACATGATCATCGACATCACTGAAAATGGAACACTCGCGTTGACGCCACCTCTATATATGCATGCATGTAGCCTAGTGGATCTGAATGACGTACCAGGTTCGACTCCTGGAGGTGTGCTTTGCCCAGAAGCCTCTACTTTTTTGATCGTGCTCTTTCAAGTTAGCAGCAGACGTGTCGGAACTATGTAAAGTCAGCTTAGGGCGAATGAACTCTAATTTCTCCCCAGTCATTCTAGTTTTCAAGTTGTTGACTCACTCAAGAAGATATGGCTTCTCTTTCGATGCGGATACAATACATTCCTCTTCATATTTCCATTAGCGTGTCCCGTAACTCGTTCCTTATCTTGAAGGGACACTACAGCCAAGTGGCCAAGGTCGAATGTTAACGTTCTAGCCAATTGCCCCGATTTTTTGAACGTAAATTTCGGGCACAATGTAGTGGCTGTGCTGTATTTTCTTCTCACCGACAGCTACGATCCCTTTCTTCTCACCCGCCGTGTTTTATATAAAGGAGTTGTGCCGCTCTACCCTCTCTGGCCTAAGACCCATGGTATCCGGTGCCGAAGGCTGGACCACGACAACTAGACCGGGCCACCGTTCTGATCACGACTACTTCTCGCGCCTGTATGTGTAATCGCGTACGGCCTAGTCGCTGGGACTGGAGGACGTATGACTGGACTGGAGGGACATGGCGTGGAATCTTTGGTACGAGTTTTGCGCTGTTTTGGCATGCTCACGAGTGTCCAGAAGAGCCAAATCCCGCGTGCGCATTTCTCAAACTATCGCATCTATCTCTCGGCCAGCTCATTAGAACGAGCAAGCTAGATACACGGCAAGCTGTGGCATTCTACCTTTGCTGCGTGAAGACCGTGAAGAACACGACCACTATTGCTTAACGAGACCGAGCTAGACTTCTGATAACGGCGCTGTCGATAGCAAGGAGGGGGTTAACGTTGGGAAGAGGAACGTGATATTTTCATGTGCGGCGCTTGGATGCCAGGGCCCTGGTGCGTCGCTGTCAACAGTTCACATGCACGTACAAAGTGCTCATCGGCCCTTTTGGTTTTTTAGATCGATACACTTTTGCTAGGACGTAGTCTTCACCCATCGACTTGCAATATCAATTCATGGAGCGGCCGACATGCTAAGGAAGAGCTCGAGGCTTTCAATTCCTACAGGCAGGGCAGCTATGTAAGAAATACATGCAGTGGACACAGAAAGCGGTCGAAAATCTGTCTGCGGGGGAATAAGAACACGTCTCATCATCTAAATTTTAATGAAGACGTACCTTGAACACTGCCATGCCCAGACACATTCACCGTCTTCGAAAAGGCGCACGCCCCGTACAGAGTAAGAACCGCACAGCGTTTACATGTCCCTGACGAGAAGAAGATCCCGATACTGCCAGTGATTAAGTCAGGGAGTACGAACTTAGGTCTGGCACCGC